CAGAGCCCAACAGTAAAGCCCAGCCTGGCAAAGCCCAGCCTGGCAAAGCCCAGCCTGGCAAAGCCCCGTGGAGCCTCTTCCCGCCGGAGCCGTCCCGGTGGGCGGCATTCCCGAGGAATCCTGTGAAGCCGCGGGTTGAACGTCCCGACGATCCGGGGGGGTTGGGAACCTCCGAAATCCGGGAATTCCGGCAGACACGGACACGCCCCGTTCCCGGGGGAGGGCGGGTGGAGAGGGGGGAGCGTTGGGGTTCTCCCCAAAACGTGGAGGGAACGTCCGGAATCCGCGGGGGCCGAGGACAAAGCCCCTCCTGGCGTTGGCACGGCGGGATCTGCCGGAGGGAACGGGGGGAGCGGCTGGAACTCGGGGGCCACGGTGAGAGAGCCCCCGAAATCACCGGCACCACCATTGCCACCGGCACCTCCAGCACCATCAGCACCATCAGCACCTCCAGCACCATCACCTCCAGCACCATCAGCACCATCAGCACCTCCAGCACCAGCATCACCAGCACCACCATCACCATCACCATCAGCACCATCACCATCAGCACCATCACCATCAGCACCATCACCTCCAGCACCATCAGCACCAGCATCACCAGCACCTCCAGCACCATCACCAGCACCATCAGCACCTCCACCATTATCACCTCCAGCACCTCCATCTCCATCAGCACCATCACCACTTTCATCACCATCACCTCCACCACTGTCATCTCCAGCACCTCCAGCATCATCAGCACCATCACCACCATCACCATCAGCACCATCACTTCCACCACTGTCACCTCCATCACCATCACCACTGTCACCACCATCAGCACCATTATCACCGTCACCTCCACCTTCATCACCACTGTCACCACTGTCACCTCCATCATCATCACCATCACTTCCATCACCTCCATCACCACCATAACCATGATCACCTCCATCACCACCATCATCATCACCATCATCATCATCACCACCACCATCACTTCCATCACCACCATCATCACCATCACCACTGTCACCTCCGTCTCCACCGTCACCTCCATCACAATCATCTCCACTGTCATGACCATCACCACTGTCACCACTGTCACCATCACCACCTCCACCATCACCTCCATCACCTCCATCTCCACCGTCACCCCCTCCCCGTCTCCTCACCCGGCTCTTCCCTCACGTCGGCGTCTCCGTCACGGCGCCGCCGCCCCCTCTCTCTGCCTGGTGCTTGTCCATGACCTGCAGCACGTCCTCCAGGATGGAGGGCCCCAGGTCCACGTGCAGGGACAGCAGGGACCCGGCGTGGGACAGGAAGGGCGGCTCCTCCTCCCCGTCGGCGAAGCCGTTGGCGGGCGCCGCGAGCCGGGGGGGCTCCTCCGCCGGGGCCTCACCGCCCGGCTCTGCCGCCGCCGGGGCCTCGTCGAGGTGCAGGCGCGGGGGCTTCGGGGGGGCCTGCGCCGGGGGCAGGGTGAGCGCCTGCGGCCCCCCCAGCGCGGGCAGCGAGATGGCGTTTTTGAGCAGCGGCGACGGCGCCGCCGCCTCGCCCGCGCTCATGGTGGCCGTGCGCGAGAAGGAGAACTCGGCGCCGCCCGCGACGCCGCCGGCGCCGCCCCCGTGCCGCGGCAGCAGGTGGAACTTGCCCTGCAGGAAGGAGGTGTCCCCGAACATGTCGCTCTCGCCGCCGCTGCCCACGTGGATGGTGTGGCGGAAGTCGCCGAGGGGGGGGGCTGATCATGTCCGAGGAGAGGATGTCCCGCAGCTTCTCCTTCTTGCCCTTCCGGCTGCCCCTCTTCAGGTAGATCGGCACCTTGGTGGCCATGGCGCCGCCCCCGGCCCGCGGCGGGCGCGGCCTCGGCGCCGGCGGGGCCGGAACCGCCTGGAAAACGGGAGAGAAAAGGGGGGAAATGGTGAAACCCGAGTTCCGGCACATCCCGGGATCCTCGGCATCTGGAATGAATTCCAGACCTTTGGTGGCCGTGGCGGTGCCAGGGTTGGACACCCAACCCAACCCAACCCAACCCAACCCACTAAAACCACCTGCAAAATGAGCGGAAAAAGGAGGAAAATGGTTAAAGCCGAGTTCCGGCACATCCCAGGATCCTCGACGTCGACACATCCCGGGAATGAATTCCAGGCATTCCCTGTTCCCCGTCCAAGGCTCGCCGGCCGCGGCACCGGCACCAAAATGAGCCGGGAATGAAATCCAGGTGCTCGGGGCCTCGGGATGGGCTCTGAGGGGCGGGAAAGGCCCGGGCAGAGCCGGAGATCCGGGAGCATTCCCACGTTTAGGAGCTCAGGGTCAGGAGAGCGGAGCCGCCCCGGGATGTGACACTCTGGGATGTTCCCGGCTGGAATTCCGCCCTGCCCGGGGCCAAAGAGCCGCAGGAATCCGGGGGAGGATTTATCCCTAAAAATGTCATGGGAACACCCCCAGGGAGGGAAGATCCCAGTTCACCTTCCAGAACCAGCTCGGGGGTCCAATCCCAGCCAGCGCTCCCTTATTCCTTCTTTTTAGGGAGCATTCCCTATTTTCAGGGTGTGTTCCCTCATTATTCCCTATTTTTAGGGCATGTTCCCTCATTATTCCCTATTTTCAGGGCATGTTCCTTTGTTATTCCCTATTTTTAGGGCATGTTCCCTCATTATTCCCTATTTTCAGGGCATGTTCCTTCATTATTCCCTATTTTTAGGGCATTTCCCCTCTTTATTCCCTATTTTCCCCCCGTTCCCTCCTCCCGGTGCCGACAAATCCCGTCCCAGATCCAATTTTGTGCCGCTACAACCGGAGACGCTCCCGAGGCCGGAAGCACCCGAGTGCTCCGATCCCACCTCCCGCTCCCTCAGCCCCTCTTTTTAGGGAATAATCCCTGTGTTTTCCCTGGAAACAGGGTGTGTTCCCTCAGAATTCCCTGTTTTCCCCCATTCCCCCCCTCACAGACCCGCGCCGGTGCCGCCACAGCCGGAGTCGCTCCCGAGGCCGCCGGAGATCCCGGAGCGAGGTGGGAAGGCGGGAATGAGCCTCGGGAAGGTGGGAATGAGCCTCGGGAAGGTGGGAA